CAGTTTTTGGCCAGGGCTGGGTTTGAACCCGCCACCTCCGGCATATGGGGCCGGTGCCCCACTCCTTTGAGCCACAGGCGCCGCCCCTGTGACAGCATTTTAAGACAAATTAAATTAGACTCTGTTCCAGGTCCTTTGCTGCTGCATCTAGAGTACGAACGACCCAGGGGAAAAGGAAAACTCAGAGGGGCATAAGAAGCATATAATATAATTTTAATTCCTAGGGAGGTACGCTGCAGAAGACAGAAATCAGAAGTCATTAGCTGTTTCATTTGGGGGAGATCGTTGGGCTCTTTGGGTAGAAATGTCCAAAACCAGGATCATAATTATTACTCATAGATGTATATGGGTACACGCGCGCTCGCGAAGGACTTGCAAAGCTCAACTCAGGGATACTGAGAAATAACCCTTCGGCGTGTGACGTCACCAGTAAGCAACAACCAGTGCGCATGCGTTCTTTTAAAGAGCCCGCACGCTCCGGCGGCCTCTCAGCCCGCCCTCTTTTTCAGCCCGTTCCACCCCCGTTTCCCGAGACTGCTCCTCCCTGCGGAAGCCAAATGTCCAATCACCGCCCACCTTTTCCCTGGCGTCATTGGCGCGTGCCCGGCTTCTAAGGTTCAGGGGCGGGCTTTGTGCTTGCGCATGCGCCAGCTCCCGCTTTTCCCACGCTGGTTCCGCGAGCTTGGCCTGAGGAATCTCGTGTCTGGGTCCCGTCAGGGTTGTCCCCGCTGGCGCCATGGGCAAAACTGCTGATTCTCGGGGTTCGGGATCCCGACCCGACCCAGTGCGGAGCTTCAATCGCTGGAAGAAAAAACACAGCCACAGGCAGAACAAAAAGAAGCAGTTGAGGAAGCAGTTGAAGAAACCCGAGTGGCAGGTGGAGCGCGAGGTGATCAGCCGCCTTATGCAGAACTATGAGAAGGTGAGGCGCTGTGGAGGGGCGCGGGCTGGCGCCTGATGCGCGCAGGGTGGGCCACCAGCCAGGAAGCGTGTCCCTGAGGCGACGGTTTCAGAGAGAGGGGGCGACCGGTCACTGGCGAGCTTGCCATTAGTCCACTGGGCTGGAGAGGGGAGTGGGGTGGGAGTTTCACCGAGTGCCACAGCCCGAGTCTCTGCACCGTCCTGGCCACTCTTCTCTTCTGGAAAGGATGGAATTGAAGCGTTATACCTACAGGTAGGGAGACTGATGCTATAATAGTTACAGTTATAGTCACAGTAGTAATGCCAATGACAATATAGGTAATAACACCCCCATTTTTAAACACTATGTGCTTTAATTATTTGACTTGATTTGAGATAGGGATTTTTTTTTTTTTTTTTG